GAAAATAGGTGTGACATTTCCGTGAATTTTTCCACCATTTTGGCGGCACTTTTGAAGCGCATATATCTTAATAGATAAATTCATTATTTTGTTTTTCGTAATGTCCTTTAATTATTTAACATTATACTATCAATCACATAAATTTCTGTTTTCTTCGATAATTTTATTGCTTTTCTAAGAAAAAGCTCATGATGTATCTCTTGTTAATTGATTTATACAAAATAAACTTTTTACATAACGAAAAAGGCAATATTAAAAAAAAAAAAAACAAAAGAAAAGAAAAAAGAAACTTTCCAATTTCATATCCGATTTTATAAATGCTCATTTTTAGGTTGAGGGTAAGTTTTATAGGCACAAACACGAAGAAAAGAAATATCGGTGTTTTACAATATTTAATCAACATATAATATATATATATATATATATATATATATATATATATGTATTGGTACGCTAAAAATTACCTTTTATAAGTTCCATCATCTTCGTTTGAATATGTCACCGTGATAAACGGATTCCTGTTATAATACTAAAAAATAATTGGAAATATTTTAGAAATATTCTTTTCAAATTAGAACTTTTAGAAATACATTTTCTTCTATAGTCTGATTAATGTAATATACATATATATTAGTAATTAACACATTTGCAATTGTTCCTTCTTATATTTTTTTATACAGAGATTAAATCACAAGAAATATTTTTATTTATAATATGATATTGTTGTTTTTCTTTTATCTTTATCGATCTTATGATCACTGAATAGACATCGCAGTAATAGGTACAAAGCTATATTTCATATTAAGTAACACACATTATTATTCACAAAGAAACTTTTATATATTCATTCTTTTTATGGGGTAAAGGATATTGAAAAATGATTACAGTATTACATGTACATCGGTTAATCGTTAAGATAGCAAAGTTACAAAATCTTCTGGGAATATTTGTAATTTTCTTTATCGTAACGCGAAGATCTGATATAGTACTGTTCCATGTTTCCTATATGTTCTAAACTCAACATCCTCATAAACATTTATATCTGACTTATGTCTAAAAGAATGTGCATCACTCGACGAACCATGTTACATTTCATTTTCACAGAAATAGTGTAGCCTTATTGTTATATTGATGTATGTTGAACGTTATAAGAACATTATAGAAATTTTGATAGTAACACGAGTTTCTAAATTATCAAAAAAAAAAAAAAAAGAAGACTGTGCAAAATCTCAAGCAAAAACGCTTAAGACTTTGTAAATATAGCAGTTCCGAGGTTCGTCTATTTATTATTACATTTCATTATAAATATTTATAAACTAAGTCTGTTTGCATTGATGAATGACTATAAACGATTGACACATTTTTCACTCTTTCTTTCTCTCTCTCTCTCTTTCTCTCTCTCTTTCTCTCGGTCATTCTTTCGACCATCACCCACGCATAAGATTTATAGAATGTGCTATGAGATAGTAGAATTAATTTAACAATAATTTCCAGTAATGGTAACAACAGGACCGCTACTGATCGAAGATAAAAGAGGAAGACGGCGTCTTTTAGAAAACTACAATTATCATTTTTTATTAATATTATTAGATTATCATCATTTGTTATTATTATTATTATTATTATTATTATTATTATTATTATTATTATTATTATTATTATTATTATTATCATTATTCTTATTCTTCTTATTATTATTATTGGTTGGATTTCCGAGACGCCATAACTATGCTTTTTGATTGAGAAATATCCTTCTTTTATACTCTCTCAGAGATTAAATGTCGCTGACTTGTTACTTCGTAAATTATCTTTTGGATGCAAAGCACTGCAATTAACTTGTCTCGTTTTTATTACGACTTATTTAAAAGATGGTATGTACACAGAGTTTGCTGAATCAGATTTGACTTTTAGCGAACTTGTGACATTTACTCGCTTGACCCTCAATAGGTGTTATCATATTTTTTATGTACATATAAACAGATATATTACTGTAATATGAATTTCTCTTCGTACAGGATGTTCCAAGAACGAATAAATTATGAAATTTGTAGAGCGATAAGTCATAAGCAAATATATTATCTCTCGTATGCGCATAGGCGTTCAAACATTTGAAGAGATAAAGATTAAATTTCAGTAATTTGCCGCTTGATACAAAGTAAAATGTATTTTTAATTTATCTTTAAGAAAATATATATATTTATTTATTTATTTTTTTTTTCTTTTTTTTTTCTTTTTTTATTGATATTTCATTTTGCCAAATCGGAAGTTCCCTAAACTCATAAGTCAATTACAATTGAAATCTTATCCTAATGAAACATCCTCTCTACGATTGATTCCATAGATTACTTTAACAGTCTATATTGTATATATATATATATATGCTTTATTTTTATTTTTAAGAATATGAAAGTTCAATGAAAATAATAAAACTTCAGGCTCTCTTACCCTTGTACTACGTTCGAATCAGTGTCATTTAATAATAAAATAATAAAAAGAAAAAAAAAAAAAAAAAAAAAAAAAAGAGAGAAAGGAAACTCAAAATGTATATAATTTTAATGCATAGGACCTGGCAGAAAAAAATTTTCAAGATAATCATAAAATAAAAAGAGTAATTGGTTTGATAAATAGAAATTAAAATTAATTTTTTTTTACACTGATAATTCATTAAAAATATTGGCAGCATGGGTTTTCCAATAGATCAATGCTGCTAATAGCACTTTTCGATCACTCAACAAATGGGTTACATCATCACGAATGCACATAAATACATTTTATATCAATGGTAGTTATCTTGGAATAATAAAGAAATAAAAGATATTATTAGCGATATTGATTTGAATCACAGTACTCTCAAACGTTTAATCAAATATGCTCTTATAATGTAATCCAGTCTGTTCGCTGTGATATCGATATTAACAATATATCATTTCTTAGAAAGAAAGAGAGAAACAAAATACATTTTATAATCGTCTTTGTTCCTTATTTTATACTTTCTTAAAACTTATATAAAATCAAAAAAATAACTCTTAACTTAATTCTCAATAAGGAGAAGAATTATGTATATCCTAACCGTATAAGCCTACCAATTCCATTTTCCGCTAAATTTTCAAAATGCGAGATAAAAAAAAAAAAAAAAGAAATGTCGTAGACAGACTGGACGTAGAATTTTCCGTTTTTTTTTCTTTCCTTTTTTTTCTTTTTTTTTTTTTTTTTTTTTTTTTTTTTTTATTTTTTTTTTGAAAACCAACGAAAGACAACGATCGATCATGAACATCCAACAAGATCTTCCTATCGGTTTATCGTTGAAAGATGACCCCCTTCTCCTATTCGCTTGAATTTCACTTTGGTAGATCTCCCTCAGACGTGATTCCCGTTCATCTCGTTTTCTACGATCCTCCCTTTGATCTCATCCGAGGAGGATTTAACGGAGAACACGGGCTCGATCGTTTCTGATAGTAACTTCGGACTGTGTCTATCGATATGCGTTAACTCTATCGGGAGATAGATCGTTCGACAGTGATCGATATCCGCTCTGCAAAGCGGACAACGTTCGCATCGTCGAGCACAATCCAAACAGGCTACTGCGTGTCCGCATGGGAAAAGCGCGGTGTCCAAGCTACGATCCATGCAAATCCGACAGAGCATGGCATCCAACAACCTTGCCAGGCACTCCCGAGATTCCTGAAATAATGTTTTTCAGTTGTTTGCATATGAGACAACATAAACGATTAAATATACGATTAAACGAAATGGTATTAGTGAAAGGACTCGATTGAATAATAGAATAAAAGTTTACCTTGCATTTTGGGTTCTCACAATCGGCACAATCGTGCCTTTCCAAAATCTCTTTTTCCTCCGGTGGTGTTATACTCGCGGACTCGCAATAGAGAGCACGTCGAGCATTATCGTAAACCTCCCTGCAAGTTCTTCGTATGTCGAAAACGTACTTCTTGCCGAGCGTTGAGTCCTCGTTGAAAATAGAGATTATCGTTCCCTGGAGAGAAAGAGAAAGAGAATTCAAAGTAGAAAGAAAGAAAGGTCGTTTTGCAGACAAGTTTCTTCCTGAAGTATTTCACTTCTTCACTGAAATCGTTCCATAGTTAAAGCTATTCTTTTATCCTACTTTTCTATCCACCATTTTCAGAATACTAAATTCATATATAGTAAATACCTTCAAGTCGCGAATGAATTGAGCAGTGACCGCGCTTCTTACTGTCTCACAGCTATAAAACGCGTGTTTCTCGGTGATCGCCCTGTAAAGACCGCTGGCCGATTGGCTTGAGTCTAATTTGAAATCCAACGAGGTCTCTTCGCCGTCGAGCGAAAGATAAACCAAATGGAACATCCGACGTTGAGAAGTGGCACTTTGAATTGCCGTATATGGTATGCTAAAAATGTTAAAATATAAATCTTATTTTTTATTTTCTCTATTTATTCCTTTAAATTATCTCGTGAAGAATATACTTTTGGGTTTCCTCATCCTGACCACGATATACTGTAATACCGTGAGGTCCAACACCGATCGTTGAAATTCCATTATATCCAAATTTGCTATGAAACATTTCTTGACCGAAAGTATCCAAATTCGATATCTCCTTTAGAAGCCAATATTCCGCTGTTGAAGTTTTCATACCCTGAGGAAAGATAGTAAATAAATCAATGAAACAAGTCAATTCTGATCTTTCTTATCTTATTTCTATAGAATGGATCATAAAATACATTATATATTATGGAGACTAAAGTAGCTTAATTGGCTTACCTTGATCTCCTTATGCTGTTGTACTATCCGATGCAAGAGATCTTGAGGCTTAGGCTCGCAGGGCTCGGTTGGTTGTATCTGACAGCATTGCGAATAAAGGGCGTGCGGTGGTGACAAGGCATCGTAATCGCCACCGTCTGCCTGTGCTATTAAAGCCATCAAACGAGCTATCGATACCCAATCAGGAACCTTCAATCTCCCTTCAACCAATTCGAGACGGGAGTGTAAGTAAAATTGATGCCTGAAAAAGATCCCAAAGAAAATCGATCGGATTAGATTTATTTGTGCCTCTTTACGTGTCCACGCGCGTATATTATTGAGAGCAACGATTAATCCTAATTAAGGGAGAAGCCATGCTTTCGTACGGAGTCTGACTGAGCGAGATTGATCACCTCTGTTTTCAACCTGCATCGTTTCGACTTATTCCCGGGAAAATTGGACGATGTGTTCGTACGTGATTAATGACCACCATTGCGAATCGTGATTCCTTTTTTTCCACAGCTGTCAACCTTCTTATTTGCATCGTATCCTCGCCCTTACATTCGCTTTGAAACGAAATGATTAAAAAGAGAAAACGAATGTCCTGGCCGATTCGTAAGAAATTCAAATGAACAAGATAAATAAAAAGTATATAATGATAGATATGAAATCGAATTTATATTGAGAGGTTCTTATTAATCATCATTTACATCTGTATTAAGAAAAAAGAAAAAGAGAAAAAAAGAAAAAAAGATATTAAGTAACAGAAAATAATCAAATATTTTCGAAGGTTTATTGTTACTGACTAGGAGGGTAGGAAAAGAAAAAAAAGAAAAAAAAAGAAAAAAAAAAAAAAAAAAGAAAAAGATTTATTAATAATAATACAAAAATATTGCGAAAAAGAATATAGATATTCGTGAGATAGGATTTATCATATGTATATATCAGTATATATGTAGCATGATATGTTTGATGAAAGTAAAAGAAAAAAAGAGAAAAAGGAAAAAAAGAAGAAGAAAAAGAAGAGAGAAAGAGAGAGAGAGAGAGAAAGAGAGGGAGATGAATCGGACCGTGATATATTTCTCTGTGCGTTTAATCTGAAAGGCCCGCCGCCAGCGATGACCCGCTAGCACTGAGAAATTAATTGATATCGACGCGAAACTGGGTCGAAGCGGTCTTTGAACAAGATCGACGCGGTCTTAATCCTCCTCTCCTTCGCTTCTTCTAACTCTCTCCCTTGACGTTGGAATTTTGGTGATGGAAAGAGTTCCTTCGCTATTTTTCCTTTCGATTGCAACTCACTTCCGATCGTTTTCTGATCGAAATTCAATTAAATCGTATATCCAGTATACATCTTTCTATATCGTAAATTATCGGGAAAGTTTCAATCTTAGAACTAAAGGGAATAATTTTGAATTTGATTCTAATGGATTTCTCTTATTCTTTTTTTTTTTTTTTTTTTTTTTATCGAATAAAAGATAAAACGATGATGTTACATATTCATTCTTAAACGTTTAACATTCACTTCTAGAGAATTCGAAATGCCTCTTAGCAAAATTCCAAAACTCCAAACAAGAGAAACGTAATTTCGATGGTGCGGAAGATGGGAATTTACTTCCGTTATGTATCTATGCATATACATGCATATATATATATATATATATATGTATGTATGTATGTATGTATGTATGTATGCATGCGTACATGCATGTACATTTCTGAGAGTCCGAGAAGTATGACACGAATGACGTTGGCGTTCTTGTTGCCGTAACGCGCGTTAGTGAAACGCGACGCGTTGGACAGCGCGTTGACTAAATCTCGAGAATATATCGCAACAACAACGAGTCGAGTATGCCTGCGCGCGGTAATTTGTGCCACGTGAAAAGCGCTTACAAGTTACACGCTCGAGCCGTCGCTTAAAATAGAAGACCGGTGGTGCGTTAATGGGATATATTTGCGCGGACACTCGTTGAAAGCTCGTACAAAATTGTCAACGGGTATGAGAGCAGCAGCAAAGTTCAACTTGCAAAACTAAACGAAAAGACGAAAAAAGAGCAAAAAAAAAAAAAAAAAAAAAAAAAGGAAGAAAAAAAATAATAAAAGAGAAAGAAAACAAAAAAAAAAAAAAGAACAGAACAAACAAACAAAATACATAGAAGGGACGGAAAGTAAACGAATTGTTAGCATTTATCGTCAAAAATATGACGATGTCCCCAGCGAAATGAATTTTCTATGATGGTACGATTTGACTTCGTACCATTCTGAAAATACAATTTAATTAGAATTATCATTGTCGTTTAACGATATTTCAACTTTCGCTACTCGTACTTGTCTCTCTTCTTTGTATCCTAAATTGTCGCAATTTGTTTTTCAAATTACGAATGGACGTGCACGAATTAATTTCCCGTACGTAAAGTGCGTCGAATTAAATGGATGAAATAAAAGGAAGGAAAAAAGATGAAGGGCAAATTTGCGAAATGAAAAATCTCCGTTGGTTTTTCTTTCTCTTTTCTTTTTCTTTTTTTTCTTTTTTCTTCTTTTTTTCTTTTTTTTTCTTTTTTTCTTTTTTTTGTTTTTTTTTTTGTTTTTTTGTCTTACAACGAAGAAAAAATAGTCGAGATTCTGTTCGTCAAGTTCCTCTCATCGCACGTGAATTATTCTGAAAGTAACGCAAGGACACTTGACCTTCCGTTTTTCTACGAAAGGAACAGAATTTTTTCCTAATTAACGACATCTTAAAAGCTCCTTTAATTGCTTATACGTGTCCACGTGTACACTGGGAGCACTATTATTCGAAATCGTGTCATTTTTGTCGAAAGCTTGATTATCCAATTATCACGTAAAGGCAATTTTCGTTTTCCTACAGATCCTCCATCTATTTCCAAATCTCCCTTTTGATAAATAATTACAGACGGAATCGAAATTAATCGCCTCTAACTTCGATCGCTTTCGAACCTTATCTTTCGTTCCCTTTGATAACATTTCTCTTGGTCCTTACGGTGGAACATTATTCTTCTTGTTCTAATTAATTATCTATCCTTCGTTTCCTCGTTAGCAGCTAAACTATCGTATAAAGTTTTCCAAGTTCTCGGACATACGAGAAATTTAGGTCAAGATCTCTCTATTCCTTATTCGCTATGGTACGGATGCATTTCAGACTATCTATTAAGATGGATTTGGTTATTACTAAAGATCGAGATTAATGGCTTCTCAATCTAAGCGAAGGAAGGTAAAGGAGGATGGTATACTCCTTTCCTCAAACTTCTCATCGCTCTTCTTAACTTGGCTAATTTTGCGACATGTTAAATTTCATGGGAAACCGTGTGTAGGTGTATGTGTGTGTGCGTTCATTACGTAATCATATACATATAAGAAGTATAAATAAGTAATGAAACGCAGAAGATAGAATTTAACAAAAGGAAAGACAAAAAGAAAGGCCAATATATTTTCATGATTGACATGTTCCTTAATTCTTTAAATAAATTTAAAATACATATTTCTGTTAAGTTCGTGGAAAAAAAAAAATCGAAAAACTTTGTAATTTTTAATAACGTTTTATCATAATTTATCAGACCAAAGTGGTAAAGAATGTTGGAAAGACTTTTCAAAGTTATTAGAGTATCTTAATGAAGAGAATGGAAGTTTTGAACAAGTTAAAAATTTTGTTTTAATTTCTTATAGGAATATTCTTTAAAAAAAAAAAAAAAAAAAAAAAGAAAAAGAAAAAAACAACAAAAGACAAAAGAATCTACTAAATTGATTTTAACCTTTTAATAGTGTCTGAAGGCTTACTTGAAGAAGTTCGTTAAGATCTTCATTTTTTTTATAAGAACTTATAGATATTGCTTAAATAGACATAATTTGACAGATAACGAACATCGACGAATTTTTATTCAGTTATTCTTACATGTTATCAGAAAGTAATTTTTTTTTCTTTTTTCTTTTTTTTTTCCTTGAAAAGAATAATCTAATAAAATTTCGAACATTGTATATATTTATATTACTTTTTATGGATATGCTCGTGTCACGTTGATGTCACGAAAATAACCATTTTCTCTAAAACCGTTCGTATTAACAGTGAGAACATAGTGGAAAAGAGACGGAAATTGGATCGACGAAGCGTGCAGTATATACGAGCTATTTTCAAAGGGACTTTTCGTATAGTAACTTTTTTTTTTTTTTTTTTTTTTTGTTTTTTAAATGAAAAGGGAACACTAGGAAAATCCGGACGGTCCTACGTATTATTTCCGGTGCACTTGATCCGAACTACGTTTAAACTCAACATTCGTTCGTTCGTTCGTTCATTCGTTCGTTCGTTGTTCGTCATTCGTCGTTCGTTGATTCGACGTGTACCGTTGGTCCTTTGTGTATTCGTCGCCTGTAAAATTTTACCATTCGATCCGAGACGAATGTTTATTCGCGAAAGTCGTTCAACGAGCCAACAGGCGTGACGGTTTTCGATTTTGTCGAGCGTGACCGACCAGCGAAATCAAGCCTGGAAACGACAGCGTTACTCGGGAAATTAAATATTTTGTTAAAAGACTGAAACGTTTTCTCTTACGTAGTTAAGCCAATGAATTTTCTATGTTAGATTTAATTACTACTTACGCGTTGAATTTTAAAACCGATTTTCCTGCCAAGCATAAACTTGAATAATATAATGGATTAAGAGGTATAATTATTGCTGCCTTTTGCGAAAGCATATTTTTCAAGGTAAATATTTTAAAATAACAGCCAAAGTATTCTACTTCGTTGTAAAAGTTGCAAACAATTGCAATATTTCGTGTATAGGTGAGGCAATTCCTGTTTCTTTTTCTTTTTCTTTTTTTTTTCCTTTTCTTTTATTTTTTTTTTTCTTTTCTTTCGGTGAACTACTTTTAACGTGCTGTAAAAAATATTTTCCAGGTACTAAAGCCATTTCGTATTTTTCCTCTGAAATGAAACCAGCTAAGTATTGCAGGTACCATTCAGTACTAGTTCTTTTCTTTTAAAGCTGTAAGGATCCGTGTCTTTTTAAAAATAAAGTCCAAAGAAAGGTTAATTTTTCGATGCAACAAAAACTTCTATTCTGTTTATTTTTTTACAGTATGCTTCTCTTTAAAGATGCTTTCCATTAACCATTTATGGTTAATATTTCCATTAACCGTTAATGGAAGTAATGGGAAATAAAGAGAAAAAAAAAAAAAAAAAGAAAAAATAAAGATGATGTATAAAACATTTTGAAATGAGTTTCGTCATGGTACTTTTTCTTTAATAAAATTA